AAAAGCTAATGTTCCTTGATCTCAAGTTGAAACGTCCGTTCAAGTGGGTATTTATAGTGGCAGACGTAGGCAAACCCATCATCGGAGCAGACTTCCTGAGGCATCACAACCTCCTACCTGATCTCCGCAACCGACGCCTCGTAGACGCAGCCACCCTCTTATCAACTCGCGGAACCCTGGCTATATGCAAATCGCCTCAGATCACGACAGTGGCCAAGACGACGCCATATCACGCACTGCTAGCGGATTTCGCAGAAATTACACGCCCACCGCCACCTGGAACGAAGCACAGGGGCAACGTGTTCCACCACATCATCACCAGAGGTCCCCCGGTCGCAGAAGCTCCCCGCAGGCTTGCACCCGAGAAGTTGAGAGTGGCGAAAGCCGAATTCCAATACATGATGGAACAGGGCTGGTGCCGACCATCCAAGAGCCCCTGGGCTAGTCCGCTTCACCTTGTCCCAAAGAAACTCCCTGGTGAATGGCGTCCATGTGGCGACTATAGGCGCCTAAACAACGTGACAGTGCCTGACAGCTACCCCATCCCTCATATACAGGACTTCACCTACAGACTCGAGGGTAAGAGTGTGTTCTCCACCATAGACCTAGTGCGCGCATACCATCAAATTCCCGTGGCTGAAGAAGACATTCCTAAAACAGCCGTGTGCACTCCGTTTGGGCTCTTCGAGTTTACAGTTATGACGTTCGGACTACGTAATGCCGCGCAGACTTTCCAAAGACACCTGAACTCTCTAATAAGTGACCTTGATTTCTGCTATGTGTATATAGACGACATCTTAGTGTTCTCCCGAGATGAAGCAGAGCACGTCGAACATCTAAAAATGTTATTTTCTCGGTTACGGGAGCATCACATAGTGATTAACCCGACCAAGTGCGTGTTTGGTGAAGCCGAAGTGAAATATTTAGGACATACGATTTCCGGGAGTGGAACCAAACCACTTGAGACGTCGGTCAGTGCAATCCGCGAATTCCCCAAACCAAAGACAGTTCAAGATCTGCGACGGTTCCTTGGCATGATCAACTTCTACCGACGTTTCATTCCCCACGCAGCCCAGACCCAAACACCACTTCACCAATATCTGAACAGCGCGCGGAAGAATGACAAAACAATAGTCGAATGGACAGAGGAAGCTGAAGCTGCTTTTGAAACGTGCAAGACAGAGTTAGCCAACGCCGCGCTTCTGGCACATCCCGCCGAAAATCTGCCGCTCAGAATTATCACCGATGCTTCTGATTACGCAATCGGGGGCGTACTAGAGCAGCACTCCAATGGGACCTGGCAACCTTTAGGTTTCTTCTCCAGAAAACTTAGCAAGGAGCAGCGCAACTACAGCGCATACGATCGTGAGCTGCTTGCAGTCTACGAAACCATAAAATTCTTCAGGCACATGGTGGAAGGCAGAGACTTTTGCATACTCACCGACCACAAACCCCTCGTCTACGCGTTTCAGCAGAAAGCAGGCAAAGCATCCCCAAGACAAGTCAGGCAGCTAGATTTCATCGGCCAGTTTTCTACCAACATTATCCACATTTCAGGTGAACAAAACACAGTTGCAGACACACTTTCAAGGGTCAATGAAATCACAATTCCTACGTTCATTGACACCGACGACTTAGCCAAGGAACAAGAAAAAGACGCCGAACTAAAAACACTTTTAAACTCTGATACAACAAGCCTGCAGTTAGAAAAACTCACCCCACAGGCCGGCCAGAAGGCTATCTGGTGTGACACGTCAACGGGGGTGGTCAGACCATACGTTCCACAAGATTCGAGAAAAGTAATTTTTGAAGGATTTCACAACCTCTCACACCCCAGCGGCCGAGCGACCAGTAAGCTCATCAAGAAGCGATTTGTGTGGCCATTTATGGAGAGTCACATAATGAAGTGGGCACGAAGCTGCATCCCTTGCCAGCGATCCAAAGTTGGCCGACACACCAAAGCCCCATTACAGCATTTCGATGACGTCACAGAACGGTTCCAACATGTGCACATCGACATAGTAGGTCCGCTACCTCCCTCTCAAAGCTACAGGTATTGCCTCACTATGTCTGACCGTTTCACCAGGTGGCCAGAGATCGCACCCATGACCGACATGACCGCAGAGACAGTCGCCAAGACATTCTACGAAACATGGATTTCAAGATTCGGTTGCCCAAGACAAATTACAACCGACCAAGGGCGACAATTTGAAGCATCCACCATGAATGCCTTGGCGAAAATTTTGGGCATTCAGCGCTCTCGGACGACGCCATATAGGCCCCAGAGCAACGGCCTTATCGAGAGATGGCATCGAACCATGAAGGCAGCCATCATGTGCCATGAAGCGGAAAGTTGGCTAGACGTTCTACCTACAGTATTATTAGGGTTACGTACAGCCATCAAAGAAGACATCGGACACTCACCAGCAGAGCTGACCTACGGAACGCAACTGAAAGTCCCAGGCGAATTCTTTTTCAGCAATATCGACAGATCCGTAGAACCCACTACTTTTGTAGAAAAACTACGGGACCACATGAGGAAACTTCGCCCAACTCCAGCGTCGCACCACATTAGGCAAAGCACCTTCGTCCACACAGAGCTCAGTAAATGTAGCCATGTTTTCCTAAGAGACGACACCGTGCGAAGACCGCTCCAACAGCCCTACACCGGTCCACACCTTGTTCTGTCTCGTACTGCTAAGATAATAAAGGTCAATGTAGGCGGTAGGGAAACAACAGTGAATATCGACAGAGTAAAACCCGCTTTTATTCTCCAAGAACCAGAACCACCACCGGCTCCATCCCCAGTACGAACACAGGAAGTTACTCAAACTACCAGGTCAGGCCGCAGGTCAACACTCCCCGCACGTTTCAGAGAATGACAACTGACAGCCGTTTTGACAGCTGTCACCCGTTACTTGGGGGGGGGTATGTGGCGTTGCTGTGATGTTGATGTAGGCAACACAACGCACACGTACTACTTCCTCTCGCCTACGAGTAGGCAACTCAATATGCTCACCGAACACCACTCGTGATTGGTGAACCTGGCGCCGACGCAGAGACCAACTGGGGACACAAGGAGGCGCGAGTACGGCAAGTACTCTCTTCTGCCGCCGACATCGAAACGAAGAAGACTGGTATCGTCTCCTGTTCCACGTGTAAGATATTCGAATGTGTAAATAAACTATAGAGAAACCCTACCTGGTGTTAGTCATTTCCACAGTTTTTATTAAATTTGTGACATTCAAATATTTGCATTGATTCAAAACATAAATGTAGGGTTTTTGCACTTTTTGGGTGTCCCATATGTGTATGTCTGTCAATTCGCGGTTGTCTTTTCTCTCATATTTTAATGTGTTTCATTTGGGATGAAATGAAACACATTAAATGATATGTCGGTGAATAAACCATAGGGGGGTTTTGGGGCTGAGGAGTGAATGCGATGACAAGCCCGTGTCTCCCTCGCTCGCAGCTCTTTTCCTCCTAGAGAGGGGGTGCGATTTTTAGCCCCCTTCCAAAAATTGTGTCTATTATTTCTTGCGCTCTCGACTCACACGCAGTGTATGCTCACTTGTATGAAAGAACGCCTTCCCGCCATGTTTAAAAAAACACAACGTAGGTTCCAGTAACTTGGATCATTTGATAAGCTGTAGCCTCCTACTTTTTTATTTATCAAACGCCTCTGAATTGGATTGAAAAATCTATATTTTGGTGTCAATTTTGTATTTAGCTATGTACACATAACGTCTACCTATTGTTTTAAAATTTTTTATCCAGAATGGCATTCAAGATAAGTAGGTATCTGTAGCACAATGACCATGCGGCTTAAACTTAAGTAGAGCGGAAATGGCACATCAAAACTAATAGACGATCGGTACTTGATTATTTGGGTAATCAATTAAAAAGATCTCTACAGAATATTTTTTAAACAATATAATTTTCTTTTTAATGCATTTACTTAAGAATGAGAACAATTTAAATACGCACTAGTTTTAATGAAATGTGAAATAAGTCACAGCATTATTAAAAACATTTCAGCACAGAAGAAACTATATCAGCATTTGTAAAACTGAAAGGGCAATAAATAAAATAATGGCAGATTATTTTTTCTATTTGCGCAATAAGTAATGCAATTTAGAATTATTTAATTAAATTTGCTCATTCGTTAAAATAACTGTTTCTTTAATAAATCAATTTGTATTTGAGAAAAAATAAACGAGCATTTCAAATGTTCCGTAAATTACTAAAATGTGCATTACTTCACAATAAAGTGGGCATTACACTCCCACTCTTTAAAAGACGTGTCATGTGCTTCATTTCGCGCCAGTTCGGCAGGGAAGGAATCCGCCCTTCTAAAGCCAAAAAAGCATTAATTATTCAATAAATTAATAATGTTTAGTAACTGAGTTTTTTGATGAAAGAATGTTTATTTTAAGTTTCTTGTTATTTTTTCAAAACTTTTAATTTGTTTAGCTACTTTTTTGCTATGAATATCATTTGTTTTTGTTAATTTTGTATGCATTCATAAAATACATTTTAATAGAGCAGGTCTATTTTTGTTTGTTATATTTTCTATAGTTTTAATAATGCACGCAGTACAGAAAATTATTGCCCAAAACAATAATTTTATTATTCCAATTTGCAAAAACTTATGGCGCAACATAGTAAATTCAATGCACAAATGTTATTGGGCATAGTATAAGATTTAATGCACAACGTATTAAAAATAATGCACACTTAATTACGACCCCTTAAGAATGAGTAAAACACATTGTATACATACTGCCAGTTAGCTTCAATTCTCTTCTTTTCAGCTTCAGGGTATACAGACCGCTAGTTCTACAAATACCCGACTTGGACTTCGTCAATTATAGAATAATCATAGTGAAGCTGCACTTCACCAGTTGTGTAGATTTTAATTTCGTAATATTTCGCTAGTCGGCACTTGAACAAACTAAAACCCTAGAATGAGGTTGGGGGAATAAAACAACACAAACAGCTTCTTATTATTGTCAATAGTTTTATTACGATAAACCGGGACAACAACATGAAAAAAGAATTAAAAACTATGTACAGCAGACATCAAACATTGCCACTATAACCAGACGATACAAAAGTATCCTTCAAGACCAAGTGAACAAATTAAATAAAATTAATTTTTGAATTGCGACAATATCATGAAAAAAATCACCTACAAAAGGCTTTCTAAGCCGCTATTTCCTTCATGCGGTTAAGTGCGCTTCCAGCTTTAAACCATCCAATCTGGAGTTCGTTGAGCGAATGATTGAGAAGAATCTTCTCAACCTTCCCATCTTTATGTTTGATTTCACATTCCACCTGTTTACCGGGTGCCAAACCGCTAAGACCTTTAATACTAATTCTATCAGTAGGCTGGATCTTATCATAATCACTGGGGTTCGCAAATGTTAAAGGCAAAAGTCCTTGCTTTTTGAGGTTAGTTTCGTGAATACGTGCGAACGATTTGACGATGATGGCACGTCCGCCCAAATGTCTTGGTTCTAAGGCTGCATGCTCGCGGGAACTTCCTTCTCCGTAATTTTCATCACCAACGGCGACCCAGCCGAGGTTGTTTCTTTTGTAGTGACGAGCTACATCTGGAACGGCACCCCATTCTCCTGTCAGTTGATTCTTGATCTTGTTCATTTCACCATTCTCTGCATTGGTAGCCCTAGAAATGTTTGATGTATGTGTAGATTTTGACAGAATTATCAGAATTAATTCAAGCTATGAGATAAAATAACTACTTTAGACAACATAATTTTTTTAAAGGAACAAGATATAGGTCAAGCGAAAAATACTATTCCAGACATATTTTTGTGGTTAAAATTGTTTTGGCTGCAGTTGAAGAACCAGAAATTTTATCATGGTATATTATAGAGAATATAATTCATGAATCACATGACCCCATTTCGTCCAATTGAATTTGTTCATGCCCTTAGTTACATGTCTATCACAGCGATAATAATTTTATTGCCTTATTGTGGTCTGTTGCTACCTAAATTTAAAAACTGTCAAATTGACAAATTTTAAAATTTCGTAAATTTTTTTGTCTTTTATGGCTTGCCAACGTTGGGGGCAAGCTCAAAACGACGAAATCAACTCTATTATCAAAAAATGTGTTCATTTATTATATTCTCATGTTGAATATAACTCGTGATATGATTAATAATCGAAGATATGGCTCGTGAAACCGAAGCAGCACATTCAACTCGTGCTTCGCACTCGTTGAATCTGCAGCTCGGTTTCACTCGAAATATTATCGATAATAATCATATCACTTGTTATATTATATCTGAAAATACTGGACAACCAGGTCTGACTTCTCGGCTCGTAGTATTTACGTTGTTTGGTCACATATGAGTAAGAATAAAAAAGGATCTACTTACCCAATAAATAAGTTATTAGATATGTTATCAAGATGTCCACGGTATTTCAACCACGGTCCTGCCGCTGAAATATGATCCGTCGTACATTTCCCTTTAACTTTAATCAAAACGACTAGATCCTGCAAATCTTTGCCATTCCACTTATCAAAAGGCTCCAACAGCTGCAATCTTTGGGACTTCGGACTAACATCTACTTTAACCGTGTTGCCGTCTTTCACAGGTGCTTCGTATGTGTCTTGACCAGGATCGAAGCCTTTGCTGGGAAGCTCATCCCCAAATGGTGAACTCAATTTGAATTTTTTTCCATCGGCACCGGTTAACTCCTGCTTTGTAGGATCGAAATCTAAGCGGCCGGCAATACTGAGTGCCGTTACCAATTCCGGAGACGTGACGAACGAATGAGTTGCAGGATTCGCATCATTCCGACCTGTGAAGTTGCGGTTGTATGAGGTTACGATGGTGTTTTTCTCTCCCTTCTTGACGTCTTTTCGGTCCCATTGACCGATGCAGGGGCCACAGGCGTTAGCCAGAACCTAGAACGTGGTTATCTTGAGTAATTGCGAACTCCTTATCGTGAACTTGGGTCAGTCGCGTGTGTCGGATGGATTTGCGTATTTTTATGAATAAACATGGGCTATCGCGCCACGAGCAATTTATTTTATTTAGTGATAACAAAGATGAACCAGTTTGTTGTGATTTATGACCTGTTTTATTATCTACTACGTCCACACGACTGTCACGAGGTGGCATTAAATCACGCAGAAATATATAGATATGCACATATTTAAATAAAAATAAATTATAAAAGTGGAAGTTCATTTTTCAAGTTTCTTTAAAAATATGAAGTAATCTCAACAAGAGTATTTCGCTTTCTTATTTTTTATCTTGCTTAATAAAGTCATGAAAATAATTAGTCTTGTAATTGGGAAGATAAAAACATACCCTTAAATAAATCTATTTGAATCGATACCACAGGTCTCCACTTCACAGATAAACAAAAATATTGCACTACATGATTTGATTTTAAGTGGAGACTTCCACCAAAAATTTTGCTGATTAATATTAGATAACTTCTTCGATAAAATAAAGTTATTTTCTACAAACTCGAGATCTGACAAATATTAGATAAACAGTTTGATATGTTACTAATGGTTTTATTACTAATTTTAAGTAAAATTGGCTAATGCCAAAAATATAATTTCATTTATTGTTTTGGTAATAATTTAAGCTCTATCTGTCACATAATTAGATAGTACATTTTTAATTCTGACTTGCAGTGCTTCTACTTTGGAGATAAACTTCAATCCTTAAAATATGAACAGCGTAGAATTTTTGAGTGTTTCTACGCGATATGAGGTCACCTTCTACCAAATTTATGTTAAAATGGCGGGTAAAATTATATCACGAAAACGTGTTTTTGATTGTTATTTCAATAAATAAAAAATAAAAATACATAAAAAAATCTAAAATTATTGTAACTCTTAGCTGCATTACTAACAATTAACATACAACGTCATATTAAATCCGCAAGGGCAAGTCACGTTTTAAAACGACAAATTTTCATCTGATTTACTTTTTACATTAACAAAAAATGAAGAATATTGTAGTCGTTTTAGACATATTGTTTTTTTTTATCAGCTTGTGTCTTTCTTATTCTGTTTGGAGTATTTCAGCTGATTCTACATAAACAATACGTGACGACTTTATTTACATAAATATATAATATAAATAAATATACAAGTCCCAGTAAAAACTCCTCGGCCTTATATTTTGAGAAGTGATAGAAATATTGAAATTTTGTAAACGCTATTGTCTTTAGGTTGAAGGGGGAAGCTTAATTTAGTACTAGATCATTGTATATGTTACAGCTAATATCCGAAATCCGTTATTATGCATAATAACTAGACATTTTAGGAATTATGCGTAATAACTAAACTTGTCAGTTATTATGCGTAATAACTGAAATTTTCAGTTATTATGCATAATAACGGAAACGTTTGGGTAATATTGATAATAACTAACAGAGGAACAGGAATTATGCACAATATTTTCAAAAAAGCTACCCACCCTGCCTCCCTTTCCGCTACATATCACATGTACAGTTGATTTAAAAAAAACGGGACAAATTACAGTAACAGAAACTTCATATTCCCATTGCTTTTCATTGATCTATGAGAACCTGAATTGCTCATCTTGTCCCGTTTTTTGTGAAATCAGCTATTATGCATAATTCCTGTTCCTCTGTTAGTTATTATCAATATTACCTAAACGTTTCCGTTATTATGCATAATAACTGAAAATTTCAGTTATTACGCATAATAACTGAAAATTTCAGTTATTACGCATAATAACTGACAAGTTTAGTTATTGCGCATAATTCCTAAAATGTCTAGTTATTATGCATAATAACGGATTTCGGATATTAGCTGTAACATATATATTTTTTTATGGACTTTGATAGATCACTAAATTACGACTACCATGACGTGAATCATTTATGTGTTGTATTCGTTTTAACTGTAAAAAATATAAATATTCTAAATGAAGAGATATATCGAATTACCATAGATTGCCATGCAAACTGAATAATTACATTAATTAGTATTGTAAAAAACCTTTATTAAAAAAATTCAATCGGTTATAGAGTCCTTACACGATGACCAGCTCCCAGTCAGATAGTCAGATTTATTGGTCTAGGGATACATAAAGATTTGGCGTATTTGCGACTTTTGTCTGACTTTGAAGATTAAAATAATAACAATAAAAAATTGGGAATACTCAATTCTTTTTAACGCGTGATCACAATACACTTACAATAGGGTTATTTTATAATCTTTGTTTGGAGAGATAAATAAAGATACGCGCTTTGTTGTGGTATCAAATAAATTACATTTTACTATACCGAGTGGTATGTATTTTATTACTGCATCCTATTCTAATTTTTCTCTTTCGTAGGAAATGTTGATGTGTCTACTAAAAAAGTGAAAAATTGCAAAAAATATCAACTTTAGATATATATCGATTTATATTTTTTATAAAATACTTAATAAGAAAAACAGAAAAAAATAGAGCAAGAAGCAGTAATAAAATACAAGGCGTTCTATTTAAAAAAATTAAAAGCTAAATTTGAAAATAATATTTTAGAATTTTTTATAAACGGAGTATATTAAAACTCAATTTAATTTAGACTACAATAGAGCGCGCACCTTTATTTATAGTTATTTCTTTACATAATAATATTGTAACATGGATTTTGAAAATATATATGTCCATTACGATTTTTTTTGACAACCTTTGTATTGCTAAAAAATTTCAAGAAATTTTGATTAACGTAGCAAATTCGCATCCTAATTTCAAAAATAGACTATGGTTTTAAAGTATAGGAAGAGGCCAACGAGAATACGTAAAAGGGTGGTCTATAAAAAAAAATAGTTTTTGTTATGCATCAAACACTCTGTATAGTTGAAAACAATTTTAGTAATTTCAATAATTAACGAGATATCGTGGAATGCGCGTTTAGTGCACGGTGAGTACCCTGTATGTATAAATATGAAAATTTTCTAAAATCATTTACCCAACAGGTAAATTATTTTCACTTTTTTTGTGCTTGATGACACCAAAGGCGCACATTCCTGACTAGTACAGGGTTTCTATAAATGATTATAGAGTCGAAGTAAGGAACGGATATGTGCCGCCTATCAATTTATGCGAATGTTACTGAATGCCCAAGGATTCACGACAGATATCACACGCATACGTATGACTGGTTGCCAAATTCTTCATATCTCAAAAAAATAAAATTAATTCATTACAATAAAAAGAAAAGAGATTTATTGTGGTTAAACCTCACAGTAAATATTGAAAATGTTCACCACCTCGTTAAAGTCACATATTCACTCTTTTTAATTTCAAAAATATTCTGTAACATCCTTTCGTCAATGCTTTGGACCCATTGTTCAATTTCATGTTGCAACAAGAACTCCTGATTGTTGAGACAATCTTGTTAAAGATATCTGTGGTTCTGATCGAGTCATCTCAAATCCACAACAACATCTTCAGATACTGAAAGTCTTCCAGATTTCCCTTTGTTGACACTGCCAGTTTGAGCGGAATCCGCAAATATCTTTGACAAGATTTCCTCAGCAGTCAGAAGTTGAACAATGGGTCCAAAGTATTGACGAAAGGATGCTACAGTTGAAATTAAAAAGAGATTGAACATGTCCTTGAACAAAATGGTGAACATTTTCAATATTTACTGTGATGTTTAACCGCAATAAATTTGTTTAATGAATTAGTTTTATTTTTTAATAAGATATGAAACATTTAGTAAAGTTCAAAACTGAGAGGCGGCACGTTTCCACGACCTACTTCGACCCTACAATCATTTATAGAAACCTTGTATATTTAATAGATTTAAGTAAAGAACAAGTGTTTATAGTACCTTTAATAAAATGAACTTCTACTGTTTACTAACATCAGTAACGTGAAAAATGGTGACCAGCTTTTTTTTTTGTTTTTTAGTAAACATACCGTTACATTATCTTAACAACACTGCGATCTAATAATTTTAAGTACATACTCAAGGGTCTTAAGCAATTTCATCATTTTTTTCGTCATATCGATAGAACCTCTAAGATAAAACTATTCATATACAGTTACCGGAAATATTGGTGCTAATTGGCTTGTCTCAGCAACTTTGTTATCAAACAAACATTTGAGTTTTGGTTGTTGGAAAACGAGAGGTAATTTCCTATTGGAAAATAAAGTAAGATTGATGGTCTCATACCGAGACCATAAACAACCATAAGAATAAGTGATTAGGTAGGAATATACCATCAACTGAGTATGAGTAAAGACATATATGTCTGTGAGTTTATATAGGCCGATATTAAGTCCCGAAGCGTGTTTAAGTATTTATTATTTTATTTGTATCTGTGTTCGTGGTGCGAAGTGTGTTTTATTTGATTGAAAAATGTAATAAAAAATGATTTACTATTCAACAGCAGAATTCTGATAATAGGATAATTTTAGCAAAATTTTGAAACATTTTCTGAGAACATTTGATATACAATGTTATTCAACGCCAGTTTTTTAGTTGTGGGCATCTTTTTAACTTTGCCCGTAACAAAAATTATTTGTTGAATACGGGATTACGGCCCTCAAAGAGTGCCGGCGCAGGTAGTAAAAAACGAATTTACTGAGAAATAATCATTTCATCGAAAATTTAAACACTCCATAATCATTTTAACAAACCTTAAAACTGGTACAAAATTTGCAAGCCTATAAGAGAAATATACAGGATGTTTCTTTCCGTTAATTTCTGTGAGCTAAAATGTTTACGAACGACGAATTTATATCCCAAAAGAAGAGTTCCAAAACTACGGGAAAGTTGACCACCTATTAAAAAACCGAGAGCTCGAGTTGTTAGTAAACCGTAAAACGGGTTAGAAATCATAAGAGCAGTAACAGAAGATCCACATGCAAGTCAATGGACAATTGCGAAAAATGTGTTCTGTGGTGTTGGTTGGAATTTTCAGTTTTTGCCTGAAATTACAGGACGCATTGTCCATAACAACTATCTTATAGCGACAATCTGCAATTGTGCTAAAACTTATCAAATAATGCAGCATCCACATTGTGTCCGTATATAGTTTAGTTATATTAAAAAAAAAAATAACTATCAACTTACCGTGCCGCCGAAATCTCTCAAAGTTTTCGCAATTCCATCCCTTTCTATCGTGGCCCGAATCTGTTCGGATCCGGGAGTCACGTTGAACGGAATCTTCGACTTCAACCCGTGCTTCAGCGCTTCCTTCACAATGCTGGCGCAGCGGCCCATATCCTCGTACGAGCTGTTCGTACAAGACCCGATCAGTCCGACCTTAATCTCATTGGGCCATCCGTTTTTCTGGGCAGCTTCTCCCAGTTTGCTGATGGGATTAGCCAAGTCGGGTGTGAAAGGTCCATTGACATGTGGTTCCAGCGTATCGAGATTAATTTCAATCACTTGATCGTAATTGCAGCCTTGGTCGGCGTTCAAAAGTACGTTCTTGACTTTGTCGGCTACGCCTGCGATTTCACCACGTTTCGTGGCTTTGAGGTAGTCGGACATGCGACTGTTGTAAGGGAAAAGTGACGTGGTAGCGCCAATTTCAGCACCCATGTTGCAAATGGTGGCCATGCCGGTGCACGAAATGGAGTCCACTCCAGGACCGAAGTACTCGACGATGGCGCCTGTGCCGCCCTTGACTGTTAAGATGTCGGCTACTTTCAGAATGACGTCTTTGGGGGAAGTCCAGCCTCCGAGTTTGCCTATTGACAACATAAATATATAGCAAAAGGAACCTCCATTACTTTAACAGTAAAGCTACTGAAGGTCAAATTATCTCTAAATATGTAAATCAATAAATAAATAACGTGGTTCGAAGACTCATATGATGTAGACTATGTACCGTTATATACATAACGAACAGAAGAGAGCCCAAAGTTGACACTTGGGGTATGTATACTGTTATGGGATTATTATATCGAATGATTTTTTTGCTTTGTGATCTAGCTTTAGGTGCCCATAATGTCACCAAATTACGTAGGTCGTCACTTAAAACATACCACTTGTCTTGTGGTGGGCTGCCTATAATCACGGGGTTTAACAAAATAAATGTGCTCTCGCAAATTCGTTTCGCTTATTGTTTTTTCAATTTTCGACAAAAATCAGTCTTTATTTGAGAGTGAATCGAAACTATCCAGGTGTGCTTTGGCACAAGCAGAATTTCCATCTCGAGAAAAATGTTCTCCAAAGATCATAAGAAAGCAACGCTTGGGTCTTACTCTGTAATGGCCAGCAAGTGATTGGTTCAAGGATGTATGAAACCCGACCCTGTTTTCTAGAAATTTGTGAAAAATTCCTTGAAACACATTTTTTAATGACTCTCAGTTATTTCGTGAGACTGGTAACATTAAGAGAACATCAGGAAGTCGCACATTAACAAAACGAACTCCCGAGGCTGTTGAAAAATGTCGAAAAAAATTATCTTTTTTGCCACCATATAATTATACACTTGTTCATAAACAACTCGTTCCAAAGTTATAGATAGAAATGGTAAGACGGAAATTCGCTACAGAATGTCTATAAATAGTACAGCTTAAATAAACGATTGCGACGCTAATGCCAAGTTGCGTATTTTCCGAATAAGTCGATACAAAATGTTTATCATACTGCATCTCCTGGTTATTTCCAGGGATTAAAATATGGTAGTAAAACCACCTTTTTCATGCTATTTCATCTTTAAAAAATATGTTTGTGTTTTTTTTAACATGATATTTATTTTACTATTAATTAGTTATATGCCTTGTGGGAGTTAAGTGCCCGAATTTAAAAAAAGATTATACAAAGTCATAATGAATATTTTTTTTGTCAAAATTAACTTCAGAGTATAATCTTGAACTTCGTGATCGACCCATTAAAAATTATCGATTACAAAAAAACACTTAACATATAGCATTGTTAGAACTTGTGATATGTAATTATATCAAACGTAGCTGATTATAGAACGCCACCAAGAAATCTATCTATAGAAAATACATTGCTTATGGACTTTATATGTTGCCAACTAACGGTAAAATTAATCAGTTAAAAAAACTGGTGCCCGAGGCTGACGTCATTTTCACCCGCTATTATCGACCTCGGCCCGGAAAATATGCAAGTACCACCACCAATATTGTAGCCAATTTCTGTTTAGTTAAAAATTATGTTCTCAATATTAAAACCAGTCGCCCGATGGACTCGATTACAATACTTCCTTAGCTTACGTTCGGGAAGTAAAAATAAAATATGAAAAATTTTATTTTAAAAACGCTAGAACGGAAACGTCTATGCGCACACAGATCGTGTAAAATAAATTAGTTTTAGATAAATCACCACTTACCAGTCAATTTAACACCGATAACTTTCGGACACTTCAATTCCCAAGGTATGTTCGCCATCACATCTACAGCATCTGCACCGCCAACACCGATGCAAAGACCACCCAAACCGCCACCATTTGGTGTGTGTGAGTCGGTGCCAATCATTAGAAGACCGGGGAAAGCATAATTTTCGAGAATAATTTGATGAATGATACCTAGGAAGAATTAGGTTTAGCTATAACTGTATAAATGGATATAAGTTGTCTATTAACCTGATCCTGGTTTCCAGAAGCCAACACCATATTTATTTCCAGCGCTACTTAAGAAACTGTACACTTCTTGGTTAAGATCTTTGGCTCGTGCTAAATCTTGTTCGCCGCCTATTTGGGCTTCGATTAAGTGATCGCAGTGGATAGTACTAGGTACTGCAACTCTTTTGAGACCACTAGAGATGAATTGTAACATGGCCATTTGAGCGGTGGCATCTTGCATAGCCACACGGTCCGGTCGCAATCTTAAATAAGATGTTCCTCGTTCGATATCCTGTAAAGTAATGGCACTTTATAGACTGGAATACATATTTTGTATAAAAGTGAACAAATACTGGGACATTTTTACTTAGGCTACACTCTTGTATTAAAATATTGAATCATAATAACACAATAGAAAAAAGAAAAGAAACGAAATTTACGAGAAACGCTCGGTTTTTCATTTGGAAACTAAACCGTTTTGACTGACATAACGAAACTAACAAGCCCTAAACTGTCAATAAAGTTTCGGGTCAACCAAGTCTCTAAATTCCAAAGCAACAAAAAATCATTACAAAGAAGGCATGGAACTTACAATGAAACTCGATTACAATACTTATCAAGAACACATTTTTTATGGATACACCATCTTTTTGTTTAACAACATGCTACGTGGAAACTGGTAGTTATCTAAAATATTCCATATAATTAGAATTAGATGCGGCACTTCTATTGCCAAACTTGATTCAAATGTTTGGCGCTATGTCAATTTTAAGCACCCAAGAAAGTTTGTTAACGCATTTTAATTATAATCCATAACAAATTTTGATGTAAAGGGTGACTATCAACCAGGGATTGGAACAATTACTTTTTGCACTTTAAAAAAATTGATGAAGACACAATTTTAGATATTTGTTGCATGGGTCCAAAGGGTCAAGAAAAAACGTGTTAGAATGATTTATTTTACCAACGCATTTGTTGCATATTCACATCAGTAAATAAAATAAAACAAATAAATACTTCCCGCAAGACGACTATATTCATAATTTGAATTCAAAAATAATTGACATTCAAAATTTTCGTCAGCCAAGGCATGACGTTTTGTCTTAAAAACATCCGCGCCCACACTAAACATCCTTTCCACTGCGGCGCTAGATGGAATTGTTATGGGGCAACGTATTAAAGTACTCCGAAAGCTATAAGGTTATATGGCCATCATAAAATTATCCCATTGTGTCGAAGTTAAGATGTTTACAATAGAAAATATTTTAAGGTCTTAAATAACGGGTCCACTGCAGCTTGACCGGCTGATGTCGTTTCGTTCAGGGGCGGCTTTTACTAAATATCTAACCACCAACTACTACTACCCGCAGCCGCAAAGGGTTCCGAAATAACAGGTCGCTTTGAAAGCCGGCCCTATTAAATGTGAGCAAGAAATGTTTAGAAGACGATTTATTGCCAACCGGTAAGCTTAGTGTGAACCACACAAAGGGGGTATTTATTTGCGGTCAACTACTTTTATGATGGTCATATAACCTTATAACTTTTGGACTACTTTACATATTTTACCAAAAATTGAAGAGCCGATTCTTTTGAGGCTAATTTCATTTCACTTCATTCCACTCTAGCTACAAATAAAAGTTCGATGTCAATTGCAACAACTTTTAAACAAAAATTTCAAAATAACTTATTGGCTACGTGTAAACGTATCGTAAATATTAGTCCACCGATAATTACCTGCGGACGCAAATCTTTTAATCTTGAATAAAAAAGATTTTCCTAAATACTTAGAAGGGGGCTATAAGATAATGTAAACTTAAAAGTCTGTCTTTAATTGCCTCTTACTTGGCGTTGTGACACAGATTAAATTTAGAACACCTTAGAAGGTGCACACTCTCATAAAATTTCGGATTATGAGGGGTTGAAAAAGACAGGCCCTATCGGTTATCTGTTGTAAATTTGAGTAGACCAGAAAAATGGCCAAAGTTTGTTTGACGACAAATTTTAAATATTCTGCCCCTGCTTACTCAATTATTTACTAAGATATTTTATTTCTTTTCTACTAATGTACCTTTCTGAAACTTAAAAATTGATTCATAAATAGCGAAAACCAGATAATCTCATACTTATCACAGTTTTAACACGTTGTAGTTTTTTTTTTGACAACAAAATTTAAAAACGGAAAAGCAGTCTGGGTAGGGTTTTTTACGCTCAATTCAACGGTGTGAAATTTATTACAATCGGACGTATAGTTTTTGCAAAAACTTGGGCAGAAGTTTATATGTATTTTCCTATGCTGGATTTTTTTTCTCACCCTTAGCTCACCCTTAAAATGATCAAGAGCTTATGTATACTATGATTACCTGGTTTCTTACCAAATTCTATGCTAAACTCGTTTTAGATTTTAACTCCCTCTTGGGTTAATCTTCTCTTTGTGGGGACGAACCAGGTATAGTAATCTCAGCAGGTTAGGTAAACGATTCGTAGAAAAAAACAAAACAATATTTTTGAATATTTGGGTTACAAATAATTACAAGTAATTGTAAAAGTGACTGAATTACTCAAAGAAAGTAATTCGTTTCAATTACTCATTACATTTTTTGAAAAGTAATGCATTACAATTACTCATTACTTGAAAAGGAATTGAATTACAGTAATGAATTACTTGTAATTGAATTACTTCCTATCACTGGTTACCACAAAAAATAAAATAAAATTTTATCATTTTTTAAAGAAGCGAGATTTGTTGGGCCATATTGCAGGGGCGAGGGAAGTTCTATCTCAGTAACCAATTTTTTCATGAATCGTCGTTGAACACTTTCTTAAACTACCTGCAGAACCAAGTTGGTTTCTACAGTATGTCCCCGGATTGAGTTCACAAGAGGCAAAAAGTTTTTCTATTTTACAAAAAAATAACAAGAATAATAAATAAGGAATAATATTTTTTGTATAATTCAAAATAAATAAATCTACAATAAAACTTTACTATTATCCGGCTATGTTCTTAAAATCTAAAAAAAAAAAAACAAACAAAAGTAACGAAGGAGTTTTTTATTTTTAATTATACAAAAAGATGTCAGGAATCAAAACTGTTCCTTAATTCAAACAAATTTTTACTATTCGATTGATCCACCATATTGATTCAGTACATATTTCAATTCGAATTCGTAATTCTTTAATGTAACTCTTTTCTCTTGTGAACTTAATACGGGGACATACAGTATAAAAATACGTGAACTTGTGAAATTTAAAAACACCATTCAAAGTGTGGCGGTGAGCAAATGAGAAACAGAGGCGGATTTGCTAAATTCTGCAATGAATTTTACTGAGGTAACCCTCGAGAGCTGCATACACTAATAGAATATTAACCTATTGTTTGCGTTTGTAGGTCGTATGTAATAGACTTTCAGCATCATTGCCAAAATAAGACTGATTTTGCCAAATGATATACCCTCTACCCTTCACATCAGTCTTAGCAGGTACTAGCCCCACCCACCCAACCTCTCTTTTCTTAGGGGATATGTCATTTACGAAAGTCAGTCTTATCTTGACAGCTAGTAGCCCCGCCCACCCACCCTCTCTTCTCTTAGAGGCTATCTCATTTGCCAAAATCAGTCTTATCTTGACAGCAAAATCATTATTACTTTTAAATTATACTTAAAATTTTATTGTCAAAACAGAATTAGAATCCACGGATTCACTAAAATATTTAACATTCATCATATTTCTAATTTTATTCATTTTTTGATAACTTCCAAACTTAAAATTATTAAATTTTCTACTATAGGTCTGATCATTTTTCCGAGTTTTAATTTTTTAAATTCGAGTGTTGAATGCAAGTAATATTGGAAACGTTAAAAGAAGTTTGGATGTGTTTTATTTATATGGCGTATACACTAACCAAAATTTATCGGTTCACCACTACCAACAATTTGATGACGGCATCTCAAGATTTTTCTAGGTAAATCATTGTCTCAGTATTTAGCCTTATAACCCTTATGAGTTTCAAACGACCAATATCTTCCTAAATACAACCCTTAAATTTATGCAATTTCAAAGCCACTAGCGTTATCTGTAATATGATTAAAATTTTTGACCCCAGGGTTGTTTGACCATTGATATCCTAAATGACACAATGGGACTATAACAGTTATTTATATACATACAAAATTTTGTCTTGCCGTTTAGTTTTTCATATTGTACTGATAAGCCACAAATTTAGATCCACAGTATCTTATGCACTTTAAATAGGATTTGTTTTTTTATTCTTTGATTCTTTGAAATTTTGGATTTTTTAGAATATTTGTTTTTAATTTTTTAGGGTTTGGATTACTTTAGTTTTTTGGATTTCTTCGGATTTTTGGATTTTGCTTATTACCAGAGATGATGGTTTCAATAATATAATGCACTAAAGTAATAGCTGGTTTCCAACCGATTGCGTTTTCTGATGACGTTACTATGGCAACTATTCTTAATCCCCGAGGGTATTATTTATTCAATAATGTACCTAAAATCCACGCTATTATAGACCAATAATAAACCGGTAAGACCTAAAATAAATAGCGTCTTCACTAATTCCTACGAGTTTTTATTTAAAAATCTGAGTTACAAGTAAACAAAATATCAATAAAGTCAAATTGATTATTCGCTTCAAATAAAGTTCACCTCTCACATTCACAGCTCCAGTTGTCCAATTTCTATTAATTAGTCAGTTAAGCTATCTAACCAATACTGCCAAGGAGTGTCGAAATTTTACTTTTGACATTTTTGAAGTTAAATCACTAATTACAATAAAAAAAACTCAATAATAGTAATATAATAACACATATTTTTTATTAGTGAAAAACGAAAGTAAATTTCTTTATAAATTCCAATGACCTTGGATGGATGTTCTTCCAAGATCTGAATTTACTTAATGCTATTTTTAGACAACATAACAATTTTCATACAACTAAATCGTGGGCGGAGGCCTATTTCTTAACTTTAAAATAATAAAACTCTAGATTGTCTTGATTTTTTGTTTTCTTTTTTGTAATTTGTAATCTGGATGGGGCAGGTGTAAACAATACAAGAATAAATGATAGAAAAATACTGAATCTCCCGCTAATTACACTGGAATGGTCTCAAGAATTAAATACATTGTAAGTTATACTTATTTAAAAATTACTATTAGAGTAATTTATCAATAAGCTGAAATGATATAATTACATAAAACAGTGTGAAAAACAAGTTGGTCTACTTAAATTAAAAATATTCCATATTACATTGCGCAATCATGCGTAAAAACAATAATTCCTTTACAAAAAATAAATATCAATGCATAAGGTGATAACATTGTATTGGGATAATAAATAATCACCTCAATGTCATAAAAAGTCACCACCTAACCTCACTTTTTCTCGACCGATTACATAACCACCAAACTGCATAAGTCTCTACATCTCCATTTCCGTTCAAAAAACCCTCCATCAACAACATATTAATGAATTACATTATAAATAATCGGTTATCAAGTCAACATTAATCAAGAGGTCATAACCTCTGAAACAGATGCTACATAACTGGGTCATTTACCTGCTTCGCTGGGTCATCCAAGTGCGAATAAAGCACTTTTTCTGATAGAGTTAGTGGCCGTTTGAGTCTGTTTTTAACTACTTCAAGATTTTTGACTAATTTATCATATGGCATTCCGTCTTTGTCGAACTTGCTCATTGCCACTTGTGCGGCGGCGGCTGCCAAAGGTGATAAGTGGAAACATCTTCTCTGGATTTCGGTCAGCAAAACACTGCTGGCCTTGCCCCCCTGAAACATTAAAAAGTGCTATTACACATAGCTGCACTTTGAATGCTCCGATAAGCAATTTTTACTGAACTGAAGAACTCTGAACGTCTGCGTTTCGGTCCAAAATGTGGTTAAGAGTAGAACATTATTTTTTTACGGTAGCATGTTTCCTCCACGTGATTATTGGCGAATAGTTGGAATATGTTATAATTCGTCTGGATAATCAACATGGAGCGGTTTACTTTGTACTAGTATTCGTATACGTAAAATAAATTAGTTTCGCACTTACTTGGCGATGCAAAACTCGCATACAGTGCGCCATGGTAGCTAAAAGGGCCCAATGCAGTAATAAAGATGTATGATTCTAGAGTACACTCTTACGTATGCACCCTAAATTTGATCTTCTCTCAGCTGTCGGTGTTTGTGCGCACGCATTCAACAATTCTATTCCATTAATAGCTTGTTTTCAAATTCGTATCGCGTATTTTCTAAAAAATTGTTGTTTATCTACTTGTTGTGGATGTCTTTACGAAATACTTACCTCGTGTTTGATAGACGTGCAATGGTAAATGGTAAGGTTAATGTCTACAGACAGATTTTGCGTTTCACCAAAAAAATAAAACAATTTTTTTTTTAATGACTTACAGTTTCAACAATTTGGCAACAATCACTGTGACGTAGCTGTCAAAGTTAAAATTGTGATTAACAAGGGCACTTGATTTTTTGTTTGTGAAAAGCACAAAAACGAAAATTTCAATTAGTGAGGTATATTTAGATTTTTTTGCTATTACGCGTTACCATATAATAGGCCAGTGCCGATAATTTTTGAGAAGAAAAAAATTTAGAACAGGATGATACCCATTGCAAAAGAAAGAAAATATAACAAAAATAAAAGGAAAAATCATTTACGGGCGATCTGAGGTCGGGAAGTGGAAGAGGAAGAGCTTTTAAGGGTAGAAAACGGTTTATCACGATTTCCGGTAAAACTACAAGTCCTATCGAAAAAAGTTAAATGGCAAAGTTGTAGGTACTAAAAGAATTTACAACTTTTGTATTTAGACTTTTCTTGCATAACTTCAAAATTTATGCGAAAAATGCAAATAACCGAGTTTTTGGTTTTTTATTTTTATCTCCCACAAAAAAAATTCACGAAATTTGGTGAAAACTTACCTATTTATGTCCCAAACTCACTGTAATTTTTTTGATTCCAAATATTTATTTTTCCCCCATATTTTGATTTAATATCGAAAATCCATCCTAATTTTCAATCGAAAATTCTCACATCAAAGTGTTTGCTTTTTTAAAAAATCCGTGTGCTTTTTATTCGTTGAAATCTCTATAGTTTCTGATGGTGTAAAAAAAAGTATACATTACTATAGCAAATTTTCACAGGAAATCCAAAAAAAAAACGAAAAAACTCGAATTCGAATTTTTTTTTAACCAAGTTAAATTTTGATATATTTATTAAAATTTACACTTTAATTACTCGAAAAACGTAAGATTCCATGTTACATTGATAAACCAAAAAACTGAAAATCCATGAAACAAGCGCCTTCTGTTGGTGGGAGATTTGTCAATATGAAAGATGATTTAATTCTTGCCAATTGATTTTCGAAATCTTAATTGATTCAGGGTTATATTGTCATTTTTACATTTATAAATATCCTTGATTAATTGTAATCCATTTTTTGCGATATCTTCGTTGTTTGTATGTTTTTTATAAAAAATACTGGCCAAATTTGCCAAATTTTTATCGTCTAACAAGCAGACCCAGCAAACGTTGTTTTGCCATATAAATTATTTTTAGTGAATATTTTAGTAGTTAAATAAAAAATTAAATTAAAATAAATAAATAAATTATAATTAAATTAAATTTAAATTATACATAAAAATTTATCGTACGACAATGAGTATATTCAACAGCCATTTTGCAACCCTATTGCAACCCTATTGCAAGATTTTTTTTGGGTGGGCCACCCTTATCACCTAGGGGTATAAAAAATAGTTTACGACCTATTCTCAGACCTACCCAATATAGGCAGAAAATTTTATAAAAATCAGTCAAGCCGTTTCGGGGGAGTTTGGTTACACACACTGTGACATGACAATTTTATATATTAGAAGACAATGAATTTACGATGTTTTTCTTCAATTATTCAAAAGGACCAAAAGATCAATATCTTGACCTACAACTATGACAGTTTTATTAGTATCTCTGGCAGTTTCTATTGAGATCTTAATTATGTCAGCATCAGTATCTTCTTCTACTTGTTTACAGGAAAATCCTTGTGACTGTAGATTCCAAAAATTTCTTTTAAATAAGTCAATTCGTCACGATTCTCTTCAAGTAAGTCAGCCTGCACCTGTATTTTTATAAACGATGTTGTTCATTCTTCTGATGGGCTAAAATTTTACGTAGCCCATTCAGGTACATAAGTTACCTTAAAATAGCATTAAATAGGCACCTACAACTTTAACAAAATATTGTAGATGTCTTATAAAGTATTAAAAGGTTATTATTAACTTATTTAGTTGTTAATTATATGTAGTAGTATATTTCGATTTGCAATTTTTTAGTTTATCAATGTAACATGGAATCTTACGTTTTTCGAGTAATTGACGTTTAATAAATAGCTCTAAATTTTACATAATAATTAAGAAACAAATTTTTGAATTCGAGTGTTTTCGTTTTTTTGGATTTCCTGTGAAAATTTGCTATAGTAATGTATACTTTTTTTTACACCATCAGAAACTAGAGCTTTCAACGAATAAAAAGCACACGGATTTAAAAAAAAAGCAAACACTTTGACGTGAGAATTTTCGATTGAAAATTAGGGTGGTTTTTCGATATTAAATCAAAATAAGGGGGAAAAATAAATATTTGGAATCAAAAAAATTACAGTGAGTTTGGGACATAAATAGGTAAGTTTTCACCAAATTTCGTGAATTTTTCTTGTGGGAGATAAAAATAAAAAACCAAAAACTCGGTTATTTGCATTTTTCGCATAAATTTTGAGGTTATGCAAAAAAAGTCTAAATAGAAAAGTTGTAAATCCTTTTATTACCTACAACTTTGCCATTTAACTTTTTGCGATAGGACTTGTAGTTTTGCCGGAAATCGTGATAAACCGTTTTCTACCCTTAAAAGTTCACCCTCTTCCACTTCCCGACCTCAGATCACCCGTAAATTATTTTCCCTTTTATTTTTGTTATATTTTCTTCCTTTTCCAATGGGTATCATCCTGTTCTGATTTTTTTCACTTTTTACCATTTTCAAAGGCTTCGGCACTGGCCTATAAATGCTAGATTAGCTAGATTGTAACCTGAACAACAAGTCTATTCAAAAGTCGCAGACCAAACTTATTGATAAAGTGGATTTGCAGCTTTGGGGTAGAATAAAAAGGGACGATAGTTTGAAAAAGCGCCTAACACCGTGCTTGCACTGGGATCATAACAGTGGCGTAGCTAACTTCCACTGCGCGCAATACTTGCGGTAATTGAGCTTTCAGTGCCATTAAAACGAAGTCAGAGTTGGACCACTATACCAAGAATCGATGTTAATTGTAAGGGTCATGAATGGGTAAAGGTGAAATTCTTTTACTATTTGCTACCTGTGAACCCATTCGTAACGAAAGTGTACCGCCTGTGATTCTCTGTTGACAATTGACCGCTTATAGTGTTCCAAGTGCTGGTTCGGTTTTACGACTGCCTCCTGATATTGTGAAGGAGTTAAGTCTTCCACAATAAGCCTCTGCCACAAGTAATCCAGCAGTCATAAACCATCAAGAGATCAACCGCCCACACTGTATGACTACACAGAGCCGTACGCGCCCGTAAACCTTAAGATGATTTATGGCCCCCGTTATTTACATTTTTGGCCTCCCGATCTGCAAAGAGCTCATTCATGAGCGTCTGATGTACCCGGTAACTACGATTTTACAGTCATTCATTGATTTACCACATCGCGAAATTTTTTAGGCTTAAGAGGCTTTTAAAAAATAAATTGTTCTACAAATAATAAAGGATACCTGCAGAAACACAATTTACGCAAGTTTTTATTCAACAGAATATTTGAGAAATGAAGAAAATTTGAGTTAGAAAAGCGAAATGTCAACAAAATATTTTGACGTTCTTCTTTTGTTGCAAATGTTTGAACGCAACGCCTACTGCAAAATTGTTTAAAGCAGCGTACTCGATACGAAGTTACAATTTGAAAGGGTTTGAATTTGAAGTAGTTTAGTTAAGTTAAGTAGTTAAGTTTAGTATAAGTATAAAAATAGGTCGGACAAAAAATTTAATACATTACATGGTAGAAGCAGACATGGTATAGGCATACGCATCGGGTGTGACGTCAAGTGGCATCAAATTAGTGCGAAATTTAAAATACATTCTTTAAATCGCAAAAATTTATTTGTGATTATTCAGTTGTTGCAGTCGTGTGTGTGATGTGATCGCAGAATTTAGGTTTGTGGAGAGAACTGAGCATAAATATGTCAACAACTTCTTTTCAACACCCAAGTGGTAAGAGCAAATTGATGATGTCCCAAATTTATCGAAATTGATACGAAACCACATTTTTGGACCGTTCAACTTTCAATAATTACGTTTTTATCATTATTAATTTTATTAACTTTAGTTAGCTGATAAGTAATTGACGTATTTGACAGAGCGATGACAACTATTAAGGTATTGGTGCATTAGGGCATTTTTCAGGGCTGCGCATCGTGCTTCAAAATTAAAACCTCGCTTGTAAAATGCTACCTACCGCACACATAATGTAAATAACTATTTCAATAAAGTTTCTAATGCTTGCGGTAATTGAGATGCCATAAAAACGAAGTCAGACTGGGACAACTATACGGTGTGGTACGTAAAAGGTCATAAATGACCTTTGCGTGAACCTCTTTTGCCGGCGTTTCTTTAACATTGACAACACAGTGTCTTCTGTCATAGTACCTTCATGATTTGCAGCAATAGCTTACACTTTACACTTGATGCAGTGCATTTAGGAGGGTATTCGTGAAATGTCATCCAATAGGTTGGGAGTTTAGGAGCTTGGAATATAAATAATATTAAAATAAAACTAAAATAAAAAAATATATCAAATTGGGGAGAGCACTTAGGGACTTCTTGTTTTAACTATGTTATGTTATATAGTTTTCCAACGAAATCCTTCATTGTGGATGACACCAAACATTTGGATGCAGTTGAAGCTTCTTTTTTGTATTTAAAATTTCATACAAAAATATGCTTGCCTAACTTATTGCCTTATTTAAATGTTAGTCAGTAAAACAAATGGTAAAACTGACAAAGATAAGTATGGTGATATTTAAAATAAAAGAGCTTTCAGATGTAATACCTATTCGTGTTGTTGGACTGTAGAAAGATCTGAAAAAATATCATATGGTCTGAAGTATTTTTAAAGAACTGATGTGTGTAAAATTTCATCCAAAAATTTGTATCAAACATTAGATGAGGGTAGATAACTTCCATAAAAGCATTGTATAACTAACATTTTTTTATTAAATTAAATTCATTAATATTTATATTCATTCATATTCAGCAAAATAATGACAGATCAGGGGAAATCCGAGAATATTGAACGTAACCAAGAATATCAAGGCATAAT